TGGAAAAATACGATCAAAATCCCCAAAATACTGAAAATTAGGAGGTACAGTAATATGGGGGCTACCAGAAAAAGTGGACCTATATTTATAATTTTTGTGGAGACATTTAGAACCCATAAGAACTCAATGTACCAAATTTCAGCGTATTCGGTTAAAAACGCGCTCAAGAACCCCAAAATACCGAAAATTGGGGGCTACTGTATATACAGACGGACGGACATAGATCGTCTTAGAATTTTACCCTGATCAAGAATATATATACTTTATAGGGTCGGAAATTAATATTTCGATGAGTTACAAACGGAATGACAAAATTAATATATCCTCCATACTATGGTGGAGGGTATAAAAACAGCTCCCATATGTGTGTCGGTATGTTGAAATTCCTATCTCACATTTCCAACCTATAATTTGAAACATGAACAACCTAATACCACATTATGCCAAAAATTTACTCCACATATAATAGACTCGGCCGATTTACGGAGTTTTGAAGGACCATCAAGTATTGAAGGCTATAAGAAGTTCAGGCCGGACAAATTTAACGATGTTTTTACATGTCTAAACAATATTTTTTTCGGGGCATTTCTAACCTTTTTGAAAAATAATTTTTAGGACTAACCGAGCTACAAGCGAATATTATTTAACGAAACAATTTTAAAGGACGTCCAAGCAATTTTAAAGAATATTTTCCCAAGGACTATCAGAGCTATAAGTTTGGATTTTTTAAGATGATTTTTCTAAGAACTATCTAAGCTTTAAGAGGGCATGTTTTAAAGAATATTTTTCCAGGGACTATCAGGGCTATAAACGTGAATTTTTTGAAGTACACATTCCATGGACTTTTCGAGATGAATTTTTTAAATAATATTTTATTTTAAAAACCAGTGAGCGGAGCAGTATAGTCGGGCGGGGCCGACCATGCGATACCCTACACAACTACCACGAACTCTAACTTTCTGAGGATGTTTATTCCGAGTCTGAGTAATATTTCGTGATATTTGCCCCCTCTTGTCCGATTAGAGGTTAACAACACCTCTTCCTTACTTTTTTCGAATATTCAGTACAGTCCTTCTAAATACTTGTCCAGATTACCTTCACGGTGGGTTGTGTTGTGATTTTCGGATTATACTCTACTCGAAAACACACAAAAAATGATGTTTTCGGTCCATTTCATCCCAAAATTTTAATCTGATCATCACCGAAAATTATAGGCGTTGTTCTTGACCATAACTGGAACTTCATGAAAAATTTCAAAGCCATCAGCGCGATATTTCTCCCTCTAATGTGGTAATGGGTTACTGAATAATATCTGAATACGTAAGCACCTGTAAATATTTGACTGTAACTCCCACATCTGAGTAGATACATCACTATATTTGGTATTAATTTAAAGGCCAACCACTCCTCTTGGATGTGCTATCAACTCCTGGGGTCTACATCCTCCAGGAGTAAATATATATGCCATAAAATACAAATTTTGTCATTTTTCACACAAAAGTCAGGGTCCATTTGACCCGCTAAATATTGACCGATCTTTATCAAAACATGCATGCTTATTCTCTGGCCCGATCCCCTTTTCCATGCAAAAATTCGCGGTGTTTGGGCCATAATTGCGGCCTCTGGAGCGACCAGAAAAACCGACAAAAATTTAGTATTTGGTCCATTTCATCCCCTAAATATTAACCGATCTTTTCCAAAAACAATAGGGGTCTTCATTGGCCAGAACCCATCCTACATGCAAAATTTCGTGAAGATTGGTCCATAACTGTGGCCTGTATCGTGTTTACAAATTATAATGGACAGACGGACGGACGGACGGACGGACACACATGTCTAGATCGACTCAGCTAGTCGAGATATGACGATCGGTATACTTAAAGGTGGGTCTAGGACCAATATTTCGCGGCGTTACAAACATTTGGGGCTGCACAAAGCTATAATACCCTGACAACATAGTTGTGTAGGGTATAATAATGTAGTGTGTATTTTTAAAGAATTTGTAGAAAAAAAAACTGTCACAAAAAAAAATATACCAACCATCCCATAATAATCTGCCACATAAACAATTAAATATACAGCTATTGAATTTGCCAGTACACATAAGAGAAGAGGAAAAAAATACTTCTACATAACTTCCATCTACTGGAAACGTCCGTCCCTCCATTAATCTGTCTATTTGTGATTTTTACAACTGTTTACCAGCAATAAAACGAAACAAAGCAAAACTGGGGAGTGCGAATATGGTTTTGTAGCTTTAAACCTCGTATCATTTTTATTATTTGACATGTGTAACACCCACCTTCGAATGTCTGTCTAGGTGGCAAAATTATTGCAACGCCAGTCAAAAGTTGACAAAAATTGAAGGCGTAACAGACAACAAATCAGCGAAAATTAATTTGAACTTATTTTATGTGTGGCGACAATCAATAAAGTGTCAAAACTGAATAAATTAAATTGAATGAAGAGAGTATCTCTGTTTAGATGTTTAAGGAATCGAAGCGAGGGATAAAAGAGCGGCACCGATATATATATATATATATATAAACCAGTGAGCGGAGCAGAACAGTCGGACGGGGCCGACCATATGATACCCTACACAACTACTACGAAAAGCCTGGGCAATATTTCGTGATATTTGCACCCTTTTTACCGATTATAGATCAACAACTACTCTTTCTACAGTCTTGCATATTTTCTAAAATGTTTTTTCTTGAAGTGAATTTTTACGCCATACAATAAAAAATTGGTCACTTTATATTTTGGTTGATTTGACACTCGGAAAATTGACCGATCATAATCTAAACAACCGCTCTAAGTATTTGGTCAGATCCCCTTCACCTTCTAAAATATGTGATGTTCTGTATACAATAATTGCCTCTAGAACGACTAGAAAACAGGGCAAAATTAAAGTTTTCGGTTCATTGTACGCCCTGAATGAAATCTTAACTTCACCGAAATTTATAAGCGTCGTCCTTGACCATAATCGGAACTTCATGTACAATTTCAAAGCGATCAGCGCGAGATTTCCGTCCTCTAATGGAGTAATAGTAATACTATGTACATAGTCACCTTTACCTAATTACGTATAACTCCCACATCAGAGTACATGCAGTCTCTTGGATATACTATCAACTTCTCGGGGATATATCCTTAAGGAGCAAGTATATACGCCCCAGAATAAAAAAATTGTAATTTTTCACACAAAAGTCAGGGTCCAATTGACCAATTGATTGCAAACAGATATATAACATCGGCCTATAGTTAGCGGAGGTTTACGGAATAAACCCCAGGTTTTATTATTCGTTTTATATAAGGTATATGTGTTCGTTAAAGAGTGGACCATCTTTAGAGAGTTACCAGAAGACGTTGTCCTATAGACCTCTTCTTACGAATATACTATTCACATTCTGGATTCAATCGGTATCAAATCAGACATGGAAATGGTACCAGAAGGGTTATGCACATGGTATATATTACCATGTGCATGTGGGGGTGTTAGACGACCCCGTGCCCATTAGTGTTTTACGGTTTGCAGGAAGGGTCCTTGTTGATACCTGGGCGCCTGAACAAGTTTTTCAGGCTTAGTTGCCGAGTCCTTACCATGGCAAGGGGCTATGACATGTTCAACCTCAAGTCCAAAAACAACCACCGATAAAAGATAAAATTGTAACAATATGAGATTTTTCGACTGATGTTGATGTGGCTGCCTTGACACAATCAGTCTTGAACTCTACAATGTCAGAATCCAATCAACCCCTACAAACGACCACCACCAATGTTATCGCACCGAACCTTTCTTTTTCCTCATCATACTCCATTACTCTCGATAATGTCAATGCAAGCCTGGATAAACATACTGATCTTCTCTTTGATCTCCTTCCACCTTAGTCAGGAAAGCATCCCGGCTCAACTCTGGGATGACTCACCCCTAAACCTAGTGACTCCTCCAAATCAAGGTGAGTCTCTCAGATGATTAGTAGGACTGTAACCTCTGGCGAGGAATAATATTGGATATTGGTGCAGACGACCTTCCCATCGTAAATCACCTGAACCATGAACCACTAAACGCGTCAATGCCAACGAGAATTCTGACAAGAAGAGCAGTTCATTTCTTCAACCGGTTTATCGGACGAGACGGACTCTATCACGGACAAGGAATTCCTTCTCATTAAGAGGAATGGCATTGCGAATGATTTCTTAATAGATAGAATTCCAAGGTCACAGGCGAAGTCTACCACGGTAACCCCTCTAAAGGGGAAGAAGACTGTGAGATGTCCGAGCATTACCAGGAGAAGTCCCCGACACAATCCGACACTGCTACTGAGGGCAGGGTAATGCTGATAAAGCACAACCTCCCTCAGAGAAATTAACCAACTCCGTCAATCCGCCACACTGCTGAATTGCCAAAACCAAAATCCAAGTTTGTGGCAATTCGGCAGTTGTTGATGGATAAACCAAAGGTGGAGAACCTCTGCGACAGATGTAGGTCCGGTCCTCGGATGAGGTATAAACCCACGCAGTCGTTGTATGCACAACTGCTTCGTACGCGTCGGTAACATCTATGGAGGATAAAGACCCAGTTGTTCAACCAGGGAACCGGAAGATCTGCGAGTAGCAATCAAGGATTGAGCTGTCCCCAACGGGGTTATCAGCGAAGATAAATGGCTGCTGATCAACAGACTTGAAAGACCTCTTCTTGAACGACGAAGTTGATCGACGAAAGCTTGAATTTGGCCAGATCACTTAATTGTCGTATTAAGGAATCCTGTTACTTCCTTAAGAAAACAGTTAATAAGAGTGACCCTCATCGGGAAGGAAGCTGGCATCCGTTGCGGTGCACGAGATACCGAGCGGAATGGTAACCTCATTGTGGATCCCACCACCATTTATGGAACTGGACAAAACACTGTGGTTCTTTGAAAAACAGAACGACAGTTTTCAGCTGAGGAAGTGGAAGTCTTGCTAAGTTCGCCACCGACTCTGCTGGAGAACATTACCTCAGGAGGAATAAGGGTGAATTGTTTTCGCCTCCCGCCGGTAAAACGGGCATTAATTAAAAGCTGACGCAGAACATGGTACAGATTAATCTGCATCATTGTAAGACAGCTGCTGCTAAATAGCACCTCACCCTTTCCCCCTCAAGTATCGACATCCATCCAGAAACATATCTTTACTTCAGACTTGTTTGGTAAAAATAATAGTCTGCACAAAGTTTAAATCGGATGGTCCGCTCGCATTATATTATAAAGTAATTTTTCCGCAAAAATCTTGACAATTTTGTGGGGGAGGTACCAGAAGAGTTGGACCGTTAATCCCCAATCTTCGAACTTGAACTAAGTTTGGAAGAAATATTGCTATGTGGAAAGTTTGGATCGAATCCGACCATATAGAGGGACGTACATTTGTAAATCGTATCTAAATTGCTTGAAAAGGATTTGGCCCAAGGAAACATGAGATCTAAAGCCAATACTTCGATAAGGCACATTTTTGCCGTATCACTCTGAGGTCCTCATATAGTGATGACAGTCCTTGAAAAATATGCCTTAAAGGAATCATCGCTTGTAGTAGATTTTATATTGAAAATATTCTTTAAAAATCTACGCGCACAATAGTTCTTGTAGGGGATAAAGTCATTAAAAATTATTCTTTAAAAAATTCACGTTTATAGCTTTTAACATCTTATTTTTATTTAACGAGGTCTTATTGTCATTTCCACAAATTTTAGAGAATAATGGTGACCTTTAAATTGATACCAGTTAACACCCTGGGCATATTCCTTGGTAGTCCCTTTTAAATAGCGGCCGTTTAAGTTACTACAATGAAAAACACGATAAACATTATTTTTCATATAATATTACGTTGTCTTCCTTCCACCTACCTCTGGTGACATTTGTTATACCACCAAGCACCGGTAAATTCATTGGCACATCCCTTTTCATAGGCATCGTTGTCCTGGTCATAGGTAGAAAACTTTTGACCCAAATGGGCTGACATAGCATCCCCGGCAGAACCACTATATGCCCCCAGGCTTTTAAGTGAATACTTCTCTGTTTCACTACCCACAATGAAAGTGTCGTATTTAGCATAGCGTCGATCTCCCTCCCAATCTTCCAACACAATTAAGAGATCATACGGTCGGGAATTCGTTAGACGGTGTAGTTTTTCCAAACCAATGAAAAACTCTCCAGAATTGTTGCCAAACCCCTGTTTATAATCCGCCCACGGACGAAAGAAATTCACTGAACCATCCATGCGTCGCTGTATAACCACATTGCCATGATCGGAGAGCTTTTCCTCTAGCTTTTGAAATTTTCGCTGTATTGTCTTATCCAACTGTTCGATTTGATTTTCCAATAGATTAATTCGATCACTTACTTCGCGTATGGAGTTGCTGTTAATTTCCGTGGCGGTTGAAGTCTGAAGTAAAATTATGGTGAATTATTTTGAAATTGAATATTTTATTTTGAAAATTTAATTTACCGTTGCAAATATTTGGGGACTCACAATCATCAACAGCATTAAAATTATTCTTTTCATTTTTTTTTTTTTTTGAGTTCTCAATTCAAGATTTAAAATAATTCTGAATAAATCACTTTTTACTTTTATTCACTTTTATACAAAAAAATATATTGTTATCAGTATTTGCGAAAAAAAAATACAATTAATAAACCAAAACAAAAATCCCCTACATTGGAGGGTGGTATGAACAAGTTGGGTTACCCACCAACAACATGTATGATTCGAACTATGAGCATTGGGTTTAGCACAAGGTGTTGATTTTTGTCAAACATATTTTTTCAATAACCTTGAAGAGTTTTCGGAGTTGATTTAAAAAAGTATATATTTCTTCCAAATCCAGCAGAGCTTTAAGCTTGTTAAAATAAACCATATTAGAACGGAGCTTTTGGGCGTTTTAAACATTATTTTTCCATAGCTTTTAGCATGGATTACCCCATCAGAGCTTTAAACGTAGAGTTTTAAAGTTTATTTTTCCAAGCTGTCAAAGTTTTAGTTTAAAATCTTGAAGCTTGGATTTTTTAAAGATTAATTTTCATATGTTTTTTAAAAATTATTCTTCATACCCCAGTAGGGCTTTAAGCGTAGGTCTTTAAAAGATTATTGTTTTTTTTACCTCAATAGAACTTTAAGTGTGGATTTTTAAAGATTATTTTTTCAAACCCCAACAGAGCTTTAAGTGTGCATTTAAAAAATCATACACAAACAGAGCTTTGTGCGTAGATTTTTAAAGATTATGTGTTCATAGCCCAACGGAGCTTTAAGTGTGGACTATTTAAATATTATTTTTTATACTCCACAAGCTTTAAGTGGGAATTTTTGTTATTTCCTTCAACATAGCTTTAAGTGTGCATTTAAAAAATCAAACCCAACAGAGACTTTTTATACCCCACAGAGCTTTAAGTGGGAATTTTTTAAGATTATTTTGTGATTACCAAGCTGAAATTTAAGCGCGTGTTTCTTAAAAATTATATTTTCATACCCAAGCAGAGTTATAAGCTTGCATTTTTAAATGGAAAATGTTTTCATACAGAGCAACAGAGCTTTAAGGGGACCCCCCCCCCCCATTCTCGGGGTCAAATTTTTTTTGATTTAATTCGATTCTACACTATTACAAGAATGTCTCCACAAAATTTCAAGTGAAAATCTCAATAACTCTTGAAGATATAGCCGATTTATTGTGTCAGCATCAAGTGACGGCTAAAGGGCATCTCAAACTTAAACGCGTTTTCTCTTTTGCGAATGGCGGGCACGATAACTCAAAAACTAATAACCCAATCGATTTCAAATTTTTACACGTTTCTCTGTGAGTGTATAGCTATCGTATGAACTAGGATAAAGCCAATCGGTGAAGATCTTCCTTATTTTTTAACTTGGTTTTTGGTCAAAATTCGGCGATTTTTCAAAAATATTTTTTCAAAGGTCCGCCATTTTGTTAATTTTAGAGCGAAGTCAATAATCCTAGTTCATACGAGAGCCAGACATGTACTCTTTCTAACACCGTTGGAATTTTCGGATTCCGATGATCCAGTGAGGAGTTATCATGTCCGCCATCAAAAATAAGGACTTTTCTTTAATTACAAAAAACAACTACAAAACAATAACAATTTTTTTTTGTAAATTATTTTTCTTCTTTTTTAAATCTTCAAATATATATGTGCAAAGATGCAAACCTTAACAAGCATTGGTATTGATTTACCAGCCCATTGAAAATCTTGAAAAATTAAAATCGAGAATGGGTGGGGTTCCCTTAAGCGTGAATTTCTAAAGATTATTCTTTCACACCCCAGCAGAGCTTTAAGAACATTTTCATACCTTAGCAAAGCTTAAAGCGTAGTTTTGTATAGATTATTGCTTTTTTCTCAACAGAGCTTTTTGAGTAAATCTTTTAAGCTGATTTGTTCATGCCCCAACAGAGCTTTTAGTGTGGACTATTTAAAGATTATTTTTTATACCCCACAGAGCTTTAAGTGTCGATTTTAATGATTGTTTTGTCATAACCAAAAATAGCTTTAAATGTGGGTTACTTAAAAATTATCTTTTCATGCCCAGCAGAGCTTTAAGCTTGAATTTTTAACGATGGTGTTTTCATACAGAACAACAGAGCTTTAAGCGTGGATTTTTAAAAGATTGTTCTTTTATACCCCAGCAGAACTTCAAATGTTAATTTTTTTAAATTAATTTTTCTTGTTCTAGTACAGTTTTTGGCGTGGTTTAATCAGCTATTAATTTTTTGTGTCCCTACAGAGCTTCTTTTAAATATTATTTATTTTAGGTTAAGTTAAAGCTTAAGCGTGGATTAAAAAAAATAAGTACTGTCAATGCTTTAAGCGTGACTTTTTAATTTTTTTTAAGTACTATCAAAGCTTTAAGAGCGGATTTTTTAAATTTTTTTTAAATACTGTCAAAGCTTTAAGAGCGTTTTTTTTAATTATTTTTATAATTACTGTCAAACTTTAAGTGTGTATTTTTAAAACGTATTTTTAAGTACTGTCAAAGCTTTAAGCATCGATTTTTTAAAAATATATTTTTTAAGTACGATTAAAGCTTTAAGCGTGGATTTCTTAAGAATTATTTTTTAAAATACTGTCAAAGCTTTAAGCTTGTATTTTTTAAGAATTATTTTGTTAAATACTGTCAAAGCTAAAACGTGTTTTTTTAAGAATTATTTTTTAATACTGTCAAAGCTTTAAACGTGGATTTCTTAAATATTATATTTTTAAGTCGGCCAAAGCTTTTTTTCTGCATTTTTTAAAGATCATTTTTAAAGTACTGTTAAAGCTTTAAGCGAGGATATTATAAAGATTTTATTTTTTAAAACTTTTGTTTTGTTAGTCAAAGCTTTGATCGTGGATTTTTTAAGAATGATTTTGTTAAGTACTGCCGATGCTTTAGCGTGGATTTTTCATTTTTTTAATACTGTCAAAGCTTTAAGCGTGGATTTTTTAAATATTATTTTTTTAAGTCGCTCAAAGCTTTTATTCTGGATTTTAAAAGAAAATTGTTAATGTACTGTTAAAGCTTTAATCGACGATTTTTTAAATATTATTTTTAAGGACTGTCAAAGCTTTAAGAGGGGATTTTTTAAATTTTATTTTTAAGGGCTTTCAAAGCTTTAAGCAGGGATTTTTTAAATTTTATTTTTAAGGGCTGTCAAAGCTTTTAGCGTGAATTTTTAAATATTTATGGATTTAAGCGTGGATTTTTCAAAATTTTATTTTTAAGGACTGTCAAAGTTGAAAGAATATTATTGAATGTCCTAGCAGAGCTTTATGACAAATTGTTTTATATGTATATTTTTTTTATTTTTTAGTCTATACATATTTTTTCCCAAATATTTCATATGAGTCTCGATCACTTCTCTTTCATATAAAAATTCAAAACAAACTGTTTCGTGATGTCAGAAACATTAACGCGCTCTGAAGGTTGTGTTCAAAGATAAGAAATGTTTTATTTAAAATTTAATCCCCAATGGCTTTCAATTATGTTGATATTTTTTAATATTTTCAAAACGATTTCCATGGAAGAGGTGAATATTTCTAATTATGACAAAGAGAAACACTCATAAACCATACCATCA